ATGTGTGTATGTATGTCTATATGTATAAATGTGTATGTGTGCATTTGTATATGTAAATATATGTGTATGTGTGCTTGTATGTGTGCCTGTGTATATGTATATTTGTGTGTACTTGTGTATGTATATTTGTCTATATGCATATTTGTGTGCATAGGTGTGTGTATGTATGTATATATGAATACGTGTGCATGTGTATATTGTTGTTGTTTATTCATTCAGTCATTTCTGACTCTTCGTGACCTCCTGGACCAGCCCACACCAGAGCTCCCTGTTGGCCGTCACCACCCCCAGCTCCTTCAGAGTCAAGCCAGTCCCTTCAAGGATGCCATCCATCCACTTTGCCCTTGGTTGGCCCCTCTTCCTTTTTCCTTCCCTTTCCCCCAGCATCATTCTCTTCTCCAAAGCATTCAAAACACACACAAAGGGGGTCCGCGGATATTGGGGGCTCCCAATGAGGGAACCAGGGGGCACCCGCAGTGGCCGGGTTGGTGAGAGGGGTTAAGGGTGGCGAAAGGGCAGTTGGTAGGAGAGAGGAGAAACCCCGCTCCGAGGGCCATGGAGGGCTGTGAGGGCCATGTGGCCCAGTGCAGGAGGCAAAAGTGGGAGAAAAAGAGAGTCAAGAAGTGACTGGCTTGACTCTGAAGGAGCTGGGGGTGATGACAGTTGACAGGGAGCTCTGGCGTGGGACGGTCTAGAAGGTCACAAAGAGTTGGAAGTGACTGAACGAACGAACAACAAACCAAATAAGGAGTTTTTGCCAGCTGTGGCCCCAGTGAGTGAATTTAATATATTTTGATGGGGGACGGGTCTGTGATTGACTCTCTCTCTCTCTCTCTCTCTATATATATATATATATGTAGGAGCCCCATCATAAGAAGACAGGAAAGCTTAGAGAAGACAATGATGCTGCGGAAAATGGAAGGAAAAAGAAGAGGGGCCGAACAAGGGCAAGATGGATCCTTGAAGAGACTGGCTTGAGCCTGGAGGAGCTGGGGGTGGTGACGGTCGACAGGGAGCTCTGGCCTGGGCTGGTCCAGGAGATCATCAAGAGTTGCAAGCAACTGAACAAATGAAAAGCAACAAGCCAAATAAGGAGTTCTTGCCAGCTGTGGCTTGTCCCCACCGTGGCCCAGCGAAGTGACCGGGGGGGGGGGGGGGGGGGGGTGTCTGTGTGGTGTGCATATATATATGTGTGTATATATGTGTGTGTGTGTAGGCAGCCTCATCATGAGAAGACAGGAAAGCTTGGAGAAGACAATGATACTGGGGGAAAAGGAAGGAAAAAAGAAGAGGGGATGACCAAGGGCAAGGTGGATGGATGGGATCCTTGAAGGGACTGGCTCGACTCTGAAGGAGCTGGGGGTGGTGACGGTTGACAGGGAGCTCTGGCCTGGGCTGGTCCAGGAGATCACCAAGAGTCGCAAGCAACTGAACAAATAAAAAGCAACAAGCCAAATAAGGAGTTCTCGCCAGCCGTGGCTTCATGAATCCTAGAATCCTAGAGTTGGAAGAGACCTCCTGGGCCATCATCCAGTCCAACCCCATTCTGCCAAGAAGCAGGAATATTGCATTCAAAGCACCCCTGACAGATGGCCATCCAGCCTCTGTTTAAAAGCTTCCAAAGAAGGAGCCTCCACCACACTCCGGGGCAGAGAGTTCCACTGCTGAACGGCTCTCACAGTCAGGAAGTTCTTCCTCGTGTTCAGATGGAATCTCCTTTCTTGTAGTTTGAAGCCATTGTTCCTTGTTGTCCTAATCTCCAAGGAAGCAGAAAACAAGCTTGCTCCCTCCTCCCTGTGGCTTCCTCTCACATATTTATACATGGCTATCATATCTCCTCTCAGCCTTCTCTTCTTCAGGCTAAACATGCCCAGCTCCTTAAGCCGCTCCTCATAGGGCTTGTTCTCCAGACCCTTGATCATTTTAGTCGCCCTCCTCTGGACACATTCCAGCTTGTCAATATCTCTCTTGAATTGTGGTGCCCAGAATTGGACACAGTATTCCAGGTAAAGTGGTCTAACCAAGGCAGAATAGAGCATGGGGAGCATGACTTCCCTAGATCTAGACACTAGGCTCCTCTTGATGCAGGCCAACATCCCATTGGCTTTTTTTGCCGCCACATCACATTCCTGGCTCATGTTCCCCTTCCTCCCCACGAGGACTCCAAGATCTTTTTCACACGTCCTGCTCTCGAGCCAGGCCCCATTTTGTATCTTTGCATTTCGTTTTTCCTGCCTAAGTGGAGTATCTTGCATTTGTCCCTGTTGAACTTCATTTTGTTAGTTTTGGCCATTCATCTCTCTAATCTGTCAAGATCCTTTTGAATCCTGCTCCTGTCCTCTGGAGTATTGGCTCTCCCTCCCAATTTGTTCCCATCTGATTTAATATATTTTGACCGGGGCGGGGGGGGGGGGTCTGTGATTGACAGCATATATGTGTGTGTGTGTGTGTGTGTGTGTGTGTGTGTGTGTGTGTGAGGGGCCTCATCATGAGAAGACAGGAAAGCTTAGAGAAGACAATGGTGCTGGGGAAAATGGAAGGAAAAAGAAGAGGGGCTGACCAAGGGCAAGGTGGATGAATAGTATCCTTGAAGGGACTGGCTTGAGCCTGGAGGAGCTGGGGGTGGCGACGGCCGACAGGGAGCTCTGGCCCAGGCTGGTCCAGGAGATCACAAAGAGTCGGAAGAAATTGAACGAATAAACAACAACAGGAGCCCCCAGTGGTGCAGTGGGTTAAACCGCTGAGCTGCTGAATTTGCTGACCGAAAGGTTGCAGGTATGAATCCAGGAGTTGGGTGAGCTCTCGCTGTCAGCCCCAGCTTCTGCCAATTTAGCAGTTTGAAAACATGCAAATGTGAATACCTCAATAGGTACTGCTTCTGTGGGAAGATAATGGCGCTCCATGCAGTCATGCTGGCCACAGGACCTTGGAGGTGTCTATGGACAATGCCGACTCTTCGGCTTAGAAATGGAGATGAGCACCAGAGTCCCAGAGCTGGACACAACTAGACTTCATGTCAGGGGAAAACCTTGAATTTTACCTATATATACATACATCCATATATATGTATGTTTTGTTGTTCTTTTAAAAGAGTGCCCCAAATATGAATGTGTGTGTGTGTGTGTGTGTATGCATCTATATATTTGTGTGTGTGTTTATATGGTATATATATATATATGCATCTATATATGTGTGTGTGTTTATATGGTATATATATATGTGTGTGTGTGTGTGTGTTTATATATATGCATTTATATGTATATATGTGTGTGTGTGTGTTTACATGGTGTGTGTATATATATATATATATATATGCATCTATATATTTGTGTGTGTGTGTTTATATGGTATATATATATTTGTGTGTGTGTTTATTTGGTGTATATATATATATGCATCTATATATTTGTGTGTGTGTTTATATGGTATATATATATATGCATCTATATATGTGTGTGTGTTTATATGGTATATATATATATATATATATATTTATGTGTGTGTTTATATATATGCATTTATATGTGTGTGTGTGTTTATATGGTGTATATATATGCATCTATATATTTGTGTGTGTGTTTATATAGTGTACATATATATATATATGTATGCATCTATATATTTGTGTGTGTGTTTATATGGTATATATATATATGCATCTATATACTTGTGTGTGTGTTTATATAGTGTGAATATATATATATATATGCATCTATATATTTGTGTGTTTATATAGTGTACATATATATATGTATGCATCTATATATATGTATTTGTGTGTGTGTTTATATAGTGTGAATATATATATATATGTATCTATATATTTGTGTGTGTGTTTATATGGTGTATATATATATACATTTGTGTGTGTGTTTATACGGTATATATATATATATGCATCTATATATTTGTGTGTGTTTATATGGTATATATATATTTGTGTGTGTGTTTATATGGTGTATATATATATATGCATCTATATATTTGTGTGTGTGTTTATATGGTATATATATATTTGTGTGTGTTTTTATATGGCATATATATATATATATATATATATGCATCTATATATTTGTGTGTGTGTTTATATGGTATATATATATTTGTGTGTGTTTTTATATGGCATATATATATATATATATATATATGCATCTATATATTTGTGTGTGTGTTTATATGGTATATATATATTTGTGTGTGTTTTTATATGGCATATATATATATATATATATATATGCATCTATATATTTGTGTGTGTGTTTATATGGTGTATATATATATACATTTGTGTGTGTGTTTATACGGTATATATATATATATGCATCTATATATTTGTGTGTGTTTATATGGTATATATATATTTGTGTGTGTGTTTATATGGTGTATATATATATATGCATCTATATATTTGTGTGTGTGTTTATATGGTATATATATATTTGTGTGTGTTTTTATATGGCATATATATATATATATATATATATGCATCTATATATTTGTGTGTGTGTTTATATGGTGTATATATATTTGTGTGTGTGTTTATATGGTGTATATATATATATATATATGCATCTATATATTTGTGTGTGTGTTTATATGGTATATATGTGTGTGTGTGTGTTTATATAGTGTGAATATATATATATAGAGAGAGAGAGGCATCTATATATTTGTGTGTGTGTTTACATATCAAAATATCATAAAAGACTGCCCCAAATGTGTGTGTGCATATATATATATAGAGAGAGAGAGAGAGAGAGATGTGTTTGTGTGTGTGTGTTGTTATGACTGTTCTTTTCAAAAACTGCCCTGGTTTGGATGTCCATTCCACCCCCCCCCCCTATTGTGAGTGTAATGGTCCGGCCTACTGAGGACCTCACTGCTGTGGAGTGGGCGAGCCCATTCAGAAGGCGGGGGGGGGTGTAGGGAAGAGGCTCCTCCGTTTCCAAGGCAGCGCCGCCCCTTCCTCCCTCCTCCGCCCCTCCCTCCCTCCCTCCGCCCCTCCCTTTGCGAAGAGAAGCCTTGGCTGCTGCTGCTCCGGGCCCGCCCTGCTGCTGGTGCTGGTGGTGGTGCTGGTGGTGGTGCCGGTGTTTGTGGCGTGCTTGTGTCCGAGAAGGCGAGAGAGAGGCTGCAATGGGAGCGCAGGAGGGTGCTGCTGCCTGGTGTCCTGGTCCCGCCTTTGGCCGGCTCCTGGCCCTGCTGGCCCTGGCCCTGGCCCTCCTCAGCCAGGCAGGTAAGCAAGGAGGAAGGCCCACCTGGGGGGAGGGGGCACCCCACCCTCACCCCCCCTCACCCCCTCCCCACAAGGAAGAGGAGCCCTTTGTGCTCGCCCCGCACAACAGCCCCCCCCCCCATACACACACACACACACTCCCCTTGCCCTTCCATTGTGGACGCCGGCCTTGCCCCCCCCCCCCACTTTGGGGTCTCTCTCTCTCTCTCTCTCTCTCTGTGTGTGTGTGTCTTTCTGGGGAGGGGCAGCACACACACACACACCTTTCCCCCAGGTATTTGAAGGGGAGGGGGCAGAAGGGAGGGAAGGAAAGAGAAAAGGGAAGAAAGAAGGAGAAAGAGAGGAGGAAAGGGAAGGGAGGAAGGAAAGAAAGGGAGGGGGGAAGGAAGAAGTGAGGGAGGGAGAAAGAAGGAAGGTAGAGAAGGAGAGAAGGGAAGAGAGAAGGAAGGAGGGAGGGATACTTACAAATATCTACGTTGTCAGATTGAATTCATTACTTACTATTTATCGCCGTCCGCATTAAATAACCCATGGAATCACCAACCATATGTTGGTTGACTGCCTGCAGCATCTCGCGATCTAATTCCGGCATGTTAATAGTTTGACTCGCCCACAAATTCGCTATTTACCCGAATGCCTGATGTCTAAGTACATAAAAAGGGAGTGGACTGAATGAACGAGGTAGGCGTCACGGATTTACGCCAGAATGAAGTACAGGAAGAGTTTAAATGACTTGACTTTTCCTCCACAGCTGTGAAGTTCCTTGACTCCCTCGTCGCCGTCCGCGTCCGTCGTCCCCTGTCTCTCCTTCCTCCGCCCTCGTGCTTTCCTTACGCCCTCCCCCCTCTTATGCTTCTTTCACTGCCCGCCCTCTTTTTCTCCTGCCTCTCATGCCGTCTCTCCTGTCCTCCCCCCTTCCTCTCGTTACTACATTCCTTCCTCCTCTTTCTCGATACCCTCCCCCCGCCGGTCGTTTCCGCTGCCCGCATTGCCGTACCGTCTGCCTCCCCGCCTTCCAACATGCCTTTCTTCAGTACTAGCCTGCGACGCTCCGCCCCCCCGCTTGCCGATCCCTCCCCATCCTTCCGGATGGATGGAGAAGTAAGGGTAGAGATGAAAGAAAGAGAGAAGGGGAAGAAAAGGAGAAGAAAGAAAGAGGGAGGAAGATGGAAGCAAAGAGCAAAGGAAGGAAGGAGGGAAAGAAGGTAGAAGGAAGGAGAGAAGGACAGAAAAAAGAGGGGAAGGAAGGATGGAAGCAAAGAAGGAAGGAAAGAAAGAGGTAGAGATGGAAGGGAAGGAGGAAGGAGAGAAGGAAAGGAAAAAAGAGGGAAAGAGGGAAAGAAAGCAGGAAGGAAGGAAGCAAAGAGCAAAGGAAGGATGGAGAGAGGAAGAAAAGAAAGAGGAGGAAGGAAGGAGAAAGAGAAGGAAAGAAAAAGAAAGGAAGGAAGGATGGAAGGAAAGAAAAAGAGGGAAGGAAGGAGAGAGAAGGAATAAAGAATAGAGAAGAAAAGAAGGAAGAATTATATAATTCCAAAAAGAGATTGATGTAGTAAGGAAGTATAGGAGGAGGATAGAAGGTTGAGAATGAAATGAAGGATACAGAAACTCTGCAGGAGTGAATTAAGGAAATAGCTTAGAAAGAAGTAATGAAAGAAAGAAATACAAATTGATGGATGGAATTAATTATAATGAAAATATGCATCAATAATGAAATAAAGATTATATAAGTATTATTTGATATAATTAATAAAAAGATTGAGTGAATTAATTGAAATGAGAGAAGGAACTATTATGTAAATTTTATTCATTATAAAAGTACTTTATGAATAGTTTTTTGTGTCAAGCATATTGATTAAAAAAATCAAATAACCTTAAAATACAATATAATGCATATCACATATCATTGCATCTCCCCGAATTGCTGATATTGTCCCCTACATTCCATACATTATGTCATATTCCAATGTTATGGTGAATTAATAATAACATGCCTATTGCTTATATTTATATAATATTATATTAATATAATAAAATATAATATTATATTAATAACATTATAATATTATATTAATATTATATTAATATTACATTATTATATTATGTGAACAGTTTTTGTGTCAATTATACTGATTAAAGAATAAAATAATCTTAAAATACAATATAAGTCATATCACATATTGTTGCATTTCCCTGAATTGCGGATATCGTCCCCTACATTCCATACATTATGTCATATTCCAATGTTATGTAGTTAAGGTGATACAATTCATTTCTTTTCTGTTCTGGTGAAATAATAATAACACATCTATTGCTTATATTAACATTATATTAATTATATTATATTTATATTATTAATTTTATATAATATAATATTTATATAATATAAATAATATAAATATAATATAATTAATTTATAATTATATAAATATAATATAATATAATTTATAAATAATATAAACATAATATAATTAATATAATATTTACATTATCAATATTATATTAATTACATTATATTAATAGTATATTAATATTAAATTAAATATATTAGGAATTAATTATATAAATGATTAATAAATAAAGAAATAACAAATTTATGTTATTAATTAATTATTTGAATTCAAATAGATTGAAATAATATTATATATTATTAATAGATAATTAATTAATTAATTCTTATAAGTACAAATAAATTTTTTATTAATTTATTTAATTATTAAAGATCTAAATAAAATTTAAATTAAAGTCAAAACTTTTATATTAACTAAAAATTAAATAATAAAATAGTTTATTTATGATAAATAAAATAAAAAATATTACATAAAAATTATTAATTAAAAAAAATTCATTTTTTTTAAAAAAAAAAATGCATTGTGGAGTGACTGAGATACAAAGGAAAGAAGGAAGGTGTGCCCCATGGTTGCCTTTGCTGGCCGGCAAAAGCGGCAGAAGCATCCAAGCGCAGGGCAGAGCTGGGCTTTTGTGCCTGGGGGGGTGGGGGGGGGGGTGGGGGCATCATCCTCATGTGCCTCACCCTGGGGGGGGGGGGGGCTTCCCAAATAGCCTCTTGTTGTGTCACTCCCACCCAGCCCTTTCCTCTCTTTCCTTCCTTGCAAGAGAACAATGGGAGAGGCTCCATGAAGGGGCAGCTTCTCCCCCCCCCCACAAGGAAGGCAGGGGGGGCTTTGCCCTTGCCACCCCTTGAGCTTCCCCCCCCCCCCAATTTGCATCTTGCCTTTATGTTGGGAAAAATGGGTGTTTGTGGGCTGGCAGTGCCTCCCACATTTAGGTACGAGCGATCAATGCGTCTCCCCAAAATCCACTTGCGCCTTTCCCGAACTAGATTTGGGTTATTTGGGGGTGTGTGTATCATGGCTTTGTCCCCACGAAGGTTGCCATTCCTGCGCACCACGTCCCTAGGAAGGCATACCTGCGAGTCAATGGGGCTGTGCCGTTGGAGAGCCCCGTCTCGCCCTGTGTCGACGGCAAAATGGAGTCTGGCCATTGAAATTGAGCATGCAAAGAGTTTGGGAGAGGAATTCCTGGTGAAATCGGCTTCAAAGCTCAGGCGCAAAGGTGTTCGGCTCCTGCGATGGGTGTGAAACCATCCCCTCCGGGATGAACCTCCATCACGGCGCATGCTGAACGCATCTCTCTCCTTCGGTGCATGCAGCGCGCCTTGCAATTCATGGGCTTTGAAATGGCTCCTTCTGCAACTGGCAGGCAAGGCCCATTTTACGGCTTTGGATCCCTCTGTAGCAGGGTTTCTCAACCTGGGGGTCGCGAGAGGGTGTCCAAGGGGTCGCCAAAGGGCATCAGTATTTTCTGTTGGTCATCTGGGTTCTGTGTGGAAAGTTAGGTTCAATTTAATTGTTGGTGGGGTTCAGAATGCTCTTTGGTTGTAAGTGAACTATAAATCCCAGCAACTACAACTCCCAAATGTCAAGGTCTATTTTCCCCAAACTCCACCAGTGTTCACATTTGAGCATATTGAGTTTTTGTTCCAAGTTTGGTTCAATTCCATTGTTGGTGGGGTTCAGAATGCTCTTTGATTGTAGGTGAACTATAAATCCGAGCAACTACAACTCCCAAATATCAAGGTCTATTTTCCCCAAACCCCACCAGTGTTCACATTTGGGCATCTTGAGTATTCATGTTGGGTTTGGTCCGGATCCATCATTGTGCTCTCTGGATGTAGTGAACACGAGGAAGAATTTCCTGACTGTGAGAGCTGTTCAGCAGTGGAACTCTCTGCCCCAGAGTGTGGTGGAAGCTCTTCTTTGGAAGCTTTTAAACAGAAGCTAGATGGCCATCTGTCAGGGGTGCTTTGAATGCGATTTTCCTGCTTCTTGGCAGGGAGTTGGACTGGATGGCCCATGAGGTCTCTTTGTGCTCTCTGGATGTAGGTGAACTACAACTCCAAAACCAAGGTCAACGCCCACCAAACCCTTCCAGAATCTTCTGTAGGTCATGGGAGTTCTGTTGTCCAGTTTTGGTTCAATTTCATCGTTGGTGGGGTTCAGAATACTCTTTGTTGTGGGTGAACTATAAATCCCAGCAACTACAACTCCCAAATGTCAAGGTCTATTTCCCCAAACTCCACCAGTGTTCACATTTCAGCATATTGAGTATTCATGCCAAGTTTGGTCCAGATCCAACATTGTTTGCGTCCACAGTTCTCTCTGGATGTAGGTGATCTACAACTCCCAAACTCTAGGTCAATGCCCACCAAACCCTTCCAGTATTTTCTGTTAGTCATGGGAGTTCTGTGTGGAAAGTGTGTGGAAACTATTTTCCCCAAACCTCACCAGTGTTCACATTTGGGCATCTTGGGTATTCATGTTGAGTTTGGTCCGGATCCATCGTTGTGCTCTCTGGATGTAGGTGAACTACAACTCCAAAACCAAGGTCAACGCCCACCAAACCCTTCCAGAATCTTCTGTAGGTCATGGGAGTTCTGTTGTCCAGTTTTGGTTCAATTTCATCGTTGGTGGGGTTCAGAA